AGATTTCATCCTAGGAGTTGTGGTTGGGAGCTAAGGCAAGGTTGGGTGCAGAGCCGAGGTTCGACAAGGTGGTCGTGCGTGGTAGAAGGTTGCTACTCCCTCCGTCCGCAAAAGAATGTAATTATGGGAATCGTGCCGGTCAAACTAGTCCAAATTTGACCAAGTTTATAGTAAATAATATTAAAATTTATGTATCCAAATAAATTTATTATGAAAGTATATTCTATAACTAATCTAATGATGCTTATTTTGTATAATGAATGTTAGTACTTTTGAATATAAATTTAGTAAAAGTTCAAATTGTTTGACTTCTTGAAAAATGAGATTTGCATTCTTTTGTGGACGGAGGGAGTACTTGGTAGGGTCAAAGACGGTGGCGCGACCTGGGGAAATGTAGGTAGTGTACTATCATGGAGGGTTAATTCTGGCCAACGGCTAACCTCTTAGTGACGTTCACACGTCAGATGTTGGTGGTCGGCAATGCGGCGTGCAATACGAAAGTCGTAGGCGCATAGAAAAAACGAGGGCAGAAGGGAAAGATGGTAGAGAGGAGTCGTGCTTCTTTGAGCGAGATGAGATTTTTAAGAGATAAAAAAATAATGAAAGGAGATAAAAAAAGAATCTGTTGAATCTATTTTGCTTCTCTCTATATAATCCACTTTATGACAGTTTTTAATGGAAATGGGATTCATTTGTTGGTTCTGATTGAGATGCTCATTTGTTCGTTGTGATTGAGACGCTCTTCAGCTCGTTCGTTTCAGCTAAAACGATCGTGGATCGTCCTTGTCTCTCTCGCCATCACGTGCCACCGATCCGCCAGATGGTTTTGTACATCGGTTGCATTTATGAGGAGGCCGGGGGGGCTCTGTCTGCCGTCTGCGCACGTGGCCGCGACATGGACGGACATGGACGGCTCCGGCGCCTACCTCCTGTCTCCTGTGGCCGCGACGGACGGGCCAGGGGCCAGGACACGGGCACAGGACTTGTGGCTGCCGCACGCGCGGTGAAGCCCGCGAGAATCTCTCGTTAATTCCGCTTCGTTTGCATGTTTGATTCAACAGATAAGTTATGAATCAATGGCCGGAACTTACAAGCTTCCGTGTCCAAAACTTATCAAAACCCAGTAAATTTCTGCAATACGCGTATAGAATTAAAAACAAAAGTTATGGAAGTGCTTTCCAAAATGGATGTTCATAGACTTCTCTATTATCTAGTGTAGATGATACCACTGGCTAATCTTGTGGCATACATAGCCAACGACGGCAGTGTCCGAAATCAACCTAGTAGGTTTTTTACCATTTCCTTTATAGCCTCAAGCGCGGATGTTTCATAATGGTCAAGGCGTATCCGTCACGTTTGGAGTCTGATGATCTTCTAATATCTCTTAGCCACGTATGTGTGTTTAGACATAAATTGTGTTTAGTGTGTGTTCGACAAGTCAAATTTTGTTACATTTAACATACCTTATAAAAAAAGTATTATCAAAATTTATGTTTGTAAATAGGTTTTCCATGAAAATAATTATCATAAATATATTCCATAATTAATACAATAGTTGTGACACTTTGAATACAAATCTATTGAAACAATTTTTATAGGATATAATTTGATTAATTGCTGATTAAAAATTATATATATTTTTTATTTTTCTCTAGTTAAATATGTCTATCATTCCAGTACGCAGAGCGTATATGGCTTCTTGGTTTGGCAGGTAGACCCATGTTTGAAATACAACAAAGGATTTACAGAACGCAGCTCAAAAAAATATCTCCTTGTACCTGGTTGAGAATACTTGTACTCCGTACAAGCACGGTGTACCTATGGCCCAATTAAAGCTGCCGGCGGGTTCAAAAGAGGGCCATGGTGCATGGCCCATTCTTGGAATTTTGTGCTTTACCTCTAGCATGTGAAGTTTGTACTTGTAGCTGCATGCACATATTTTGAGTGCGTACAATGCAACATATTATTGCTTGCTTCATTCTCCTGTAGACTGAATTACTATGTCCTCTTGAGTGAAGAGGGCATAGTAATAGTAATTCAGTCTATTGCTTGCTTCACACTCCTTGCTTCAGTGTATATCTAATGACTAGGGATAAAAAATATGTCAACATGGCTTTCTTACGTTCTAGAATTTGGCAGGGGCATGTAGAAAGGACGCCGCAACGCTCATGATGCACGCGCCCACCGCTGCCGCCTAGAATCTCGCACGCACCCGCCGCTGCCGCCTCGGGTCTCACTTGTGCCCGCCGAAGCCTCCGTTGCCCCCTCGCGGCCTCGGGTAAACCATATAACACATGTAGCCCTTATTTAACTATAGAGAGATCTTGTGCTTACTATAATTTCTGTCTGGTGGTCGACACTTATAGTAGCTACACATGTGATTGTTTTTTTAGGGGGGGAGGGGGTTGAGGGGGGTGTTTAATTCACCTAGAAAACCTTATAATTTGGAATAAATTTTGAATGCTCCAATACCTTATATTTCAGGATAGAGAGAGTAACGTTTAGAATAATATATTAAAATTGTTAATGACCGCTAAAGAGGTTTTAGACAGTCCATTACTGATATTTTTATTTTAATATGATTTTTTATTTCAAATCATGGATGGTGGAGCTGACCAGACATGATGGTGCAACGTTCCACATAGGACGAGGGACAAAGTTGAGCCAAAAAGAAAAGTTTAAGGACCTAAGCACACTTTGATGGTTTATCGACAAAATTAAGCACAAAATGCAAATTGTCGCTTTTTTGAGGGAAAATGCAAATTGTCGCTTTGATAGTCCTATGATTAAACTAAGGCTAAAATAAAATTTGAGAATTTAAACAGTCATTTTAAAAGTTCAGAACCTCGGACGCTAGTTGAGGAACTAAAATAACGTACTATTCCACTAAAGAAAAGAATGAGAATGAAAGGCGTCGTTAATTGTATTCAACATCGTTTCCCATTAAGGAACAACATAGGCTCATAATAAAGAACCTCTGCCGTTCTGCGCATATTCAGCGTGAAAATACAAAATAGTCCATCCAGATTTGGACATATTTTCGCCGCTTGTGAAACTATAAAACGCAGAGAAAGATTCAAATACGTGTCTGTGAAACGCGAGAAAAGGTGCGCCATGCAATTTGGGGAAAAGAACATCTCTCTCGAGTCGCATCACGGCAAATGATCCAATTTCATGGTGACCCCGCTGGCCTGCTCTTTGTTTTACCAGGAAGGTCCTCTCATCGCTCACACTATGGGACACCCCCTATCGTACTCATTAATCAGATGCCTAGGATTTTTTTTATTGAGGTGGCAACAAACTAACGAAAAGAGATGAAATAAAATCATTTGGATGAATTTGTTATATATCATCATAATACAAGGTCGTTTGGTTGGCGCCCTCGCCTTGGGCCACACCTAGAATCCTAGATATATGCATCCATGCTAGGGCTTGTTTGACTGCACGCCAATCCAATCCAAATTTTAGAAGGTATTTCATCCCCAATGCCTCTCCACCTATGTGGATTGGAGTGCATTGATGCACAGCTAAACAAGTCCCTAAGCATTTAAAATCGAACACTTGGCGTCGTTGCTTGGTCCTAGTGTATTATCCTGGACAAGAACCAAACATGTTGATAATTTAGGCTCCATAACTAATGCTGGAAAACTAGAAACAACATTACCCATTGTCATAGTTAGAATAGACACAACAATTAATTGTTTTCAGGTTCCTACGAAAAACACCAAGATACTATATATTGGATCACTTGTATCATACTTGTATTTCTATAACACAGCAATGTCGGAAATAGGGCTGATACAAAGCATTGGGAATAGCTTTATGAGGACTTATCTATGTAGAGTATCGGTGAAGGTCTCGTGCTTTTGAATATTACATAAGTGGACCAAAACGGATCAGAGCCTCCAAAAGTCTTCTAGTCACTATAAGCAAACAACAATGACAATACTGAAGTTCCAAATTTTGAACATGATCAAAATGGATCAGAGCCGCCTCCAAAAATCTTCTAGTCACTATAAACAAACAATAATGACAATCATGTTGTTCCAGATATAGATGACAATCTCATTAGCATTTTCTTAAAATGACAATTTCATTCTATGTTGGTTTACCAATCTGGCTAAAAAATATTTGGTGAACACAGTGCATGCGTCAGAGAAGCTAGAGCCGGTAGGAGCCTAAGCTTTCAATATAACTGTGCCTGATCGATCCAGGTGTAACATTCCTAATTTCCAATGCTAGCTAAACTTCCAAAAGTTAACAGTTTGTAGATAAGAAGTGCTTGATTTACAGCCTTTTCATTTGCTGCTGCCCTTGTCAGCTTATCACCTCATATATCGAAAAGTTAACAATTTGAACGCGTTTCTGAACTCACAGCCCTCTGTCACACATTATTATTAAAAACGCCCATGAGCAGGGGACCGAGCATGCAGCAGCAGCAGACAGTCTCCAGCCGATATACATGCAGCCGCTGTCATCTTTTGTTCTCTTCTTGTCGCCTCTCTCTCACGAGATCGAGTCCACACCTCTCGCTCCCAGTGTAGCATCACCGAAAAGAAAAAAGAAAAAAAAAAGAACTGGCTCCAAAAAACACTGGTCCACACACAGGCATACGCTTGCTACGAGACCGCAATAATTCGCAGAAGCCACCAAGCTGCACTTGCCCTCGCGGACAAGGCCACCCATCAAAGGATTCAGAGAAATCTTTGCGAGCTTTGTGGTCGATATCCCTCCTCCCTTCGCCGTTCGCCGCCCCAAATACTCCCCAGGGAGCGAGTAGCCGAGTACTGACTTGCCATCGCACCAAATGGTCAGTACTAGTACCAGCTAGCTCAACAGCAAAACAGTGCAAAGACAGGTTACAACAACCTACCCTAACAGGCCATTCCTTCCACTGCACTGCACTCGTGAGCTACCTGATCTCCAACTCGATCCAAGTGTACCTAGTGTGGCTAGCTACTGGCTAGTAGACACTTGAGAAGCTTGCAGTGTCGCCGGTGATGTGTGCCGATGTGGAGGAGTGCGGTGGAGGCGCCGCCGGCAGCAAAGAGATGGAGGAGATCGTCGTCGGGCCTGTGTCGGACCTGGATTTCGACTTCACGGTCGACGACATAGACTTCGGGGACTTCTTCCTCAGGCTAGAAGACGACGACGGAGACGCGCTGCCGGACCTCGAGGTCGACCCTGCCGAAATCTTCATCACTGACTTTGAGGCAATCGCCACCGCCGGCGATGGCGTCATGGACCAGGAGGTGCCCAGTGTCCTGCCCTTAGCAGACGCGGTGCACATAGGCGCCGTGGATCCGTGCTGTCCCGGTGTCGTCCTTGGCGAGGACAACGTCACAACGTGCGAAGATGTGGTGGAAGAAGGGAAGGGAGAGTGCAACCATGCCGAGGGCGAGGAGGTAGTCGTCAGTAATGGTGACTCTGGTGAGGGCGGCTGTGAAACCGTTCTGGGCGAAAAGTCACCGTCTTCGACGACATCGTCGTCGCAGGAGGCTGAGAGCCGTCACAAGTCGTCCAACAAGCACTCCCACGGGAAGAAGAAAGCAAAGGTATGCATGTTAGCCAGCAATTGAAAGCCCTAAATGTAAAGGTTGAGTCGTCGGGTGATGACGGATGATACTATGTGGTGATATATTTTTACAGGTGGATTGGACGCCGGAGCTTCACCGGAAATTCGTTCAAGCGGTAGAGCAGCTGGGCATTGACAAGGCAGTGCCGTCCAGGATACTCGAGATCATGGGGATCGACTCCCTCACGCGCCATAACATTGCCAGTCATTTGCAGGTCCGTGCCGCCCGTGAAGCTTAGTAGCGTCACTCACTGGATCCTCCATCCATATCCATACACTATATAGCATCGATCCAACTTTTTTTTTCACTGCCTGTGGAATAAATTATTACATCATGTTCTTGGCCTACCATGCATATATATTTCCTTTGTTTTATGCTAACGATCGATTTGCTATTTAAATTGAAGCAGAAGTACCGTTCCCACAGGAAGCACATGCTTGAAAGGGAGGTGGAGGCAGCGACCTGGACGCAGCGGCGACAGATGTACGCTGCCGGAGGAGCCCCCAATGGCGTGAAGAGGCCCGATTCTAACGCGTGGACCGTGCCGACCATCGGCTTCCCTCCGCCACCGCCGCCGCCGCCCCCTCCTCCTCATCCGATGCAACACTTCGGAAGGCCGCTGCATGTCTGGGGCCATCCAACGCCAACGGTGGAGTCACCCCGGGTGCCAATGTGGCCTCGGCATCTCGTGCCCCGCACCCCGCCGCCGCCGTGGGCTCCTCCGCCGCCGCCATCTGACCCGGCGTTCTGGCACCATGCTTACATGAGGGTATGTATGCATCATAAGTTAACTTCATAAGGGAGCTAGATTAGGTAGTGTTCTGATGGCCGGATTTCGTTTTATCAGGGGCCTGCACACATGCCGGGCCAGGTGACTCCCTGCGTGGCAGTGCCAATGCCAGCAGCGGTAATGGTTCATGTTCATCAACAATGCTCAAAACAATGGAAATTGGCACTTCATAGATAGTATTATTCTCTAATAAGAACTTTGTGATGTCCTAATTTTCAGCGTTTCCCTGCTCCACCCGTGAGGGGTGCTTTGCCATGTCCACCTCCAATGTACAGACCTCTCGTTCCTCCAACACTCGATACGCAGCTTCAGCTACAGACACAGCCAGTAAGCGAAGTTGTATTGACATGTTTCAGACAATACTCATATTTCTGCATGGGGCACTCTCAACTCGGCCTTTCTTTTTCTTTTTGTTTATATTTTTCAGTCAAGTGAGAGCATAGATGCAGCAATAGGTGATGTTTTAACGAAACCGTGGCTGCCACTGCCCCTGGGACTGAAGCCCCCTTCGGTAGACAGTGTCATGGGCGAGTTGCAGAGGCAAGGTGTAGCAAATGTGCCGCCAGCTTGTGGATGATCCCCGGGGCTCCATTGCTGCTTGTCCCTGCAGTGTCCAACAAAAGGAATTCGTCGACATGCCTTTTCTGTTTTAAATTTTCATGAACCATTTGTGGACCACTCTTTTAATTAACCTGTTCAGGATCAGAGAGAAACACAGTACATCCTTTCAGGTTTGAGGGAAATCAACCTGAGTACATCCAAGTACAATGTGCTGCCATGTCGGAACAATGATGTCTTGGCCTTAATAATCGATATCTCAGATTTTGGTTTTTGTTTGGGCAAAAAAATATATGTGAATGCTACAGGTTAAATACTAACACTAGACGAAAGAGCTCAACACCCGTTACAAAGGTTATTGGCAGGAAACAGTCAGGATTTGTTAGGGGGAGAAATATTTTAAAGGGGGTTGTAGTCCTGCATGAAGTCCTACATGAATTAGGCAGAACTAAACATAAAGGTCTCATTTTGATAATTGACTTTGAAAAGGCATACGATAGGGACAGATGGTCCTTTCTGGAGGAAGTTATGGTTGGGAAAGGGTTTCTGAGGAGGGATTGCTTGGGTCATGGAGTCTGTGAAAGGAGGAAAAGTCTGTATAAATGTCAATGACGAAAGAAGTCCTTATTTTAGTACTTATAGAGGTTTGAGGCAAAGGGATCCTCTTTCTCTTCTTCTCTTCAGTTTAGTAGTTGATGTCCTTGGAGTGATGTTAGATAAAGCTAAATCTAAGGGGCACATAACGGGAGTTATTGAACATCTTATCCCTAGAGGGATTATCCATATCCAATATGTTGATGACACTGTCATCATGGTAGATGGGTCTACACAATCTCTTACAAACCTGAAACTTATCTTATACTGTTTTGAGTGGCTGACTGGGCTCAACGTCAACTTTCACAAGAGTGAAGTGGTGGTTTTTGGGGTCACAGCAGGAGAAGGAAGAGATGGCTAATAGATTGAATTGTGCCTTGGGTGAATTGCCTCTGAAATACTTAGGGATTCCTATTAGTGATAAACACCTAAACATGGGGGCCTTTCTCTTCCTCACTCAGAAGATGGTTAAAAGACTAGACCCATGAAGAGTAAGTGTCTAACCTCTGGGGGAAGGCACATTCTGACCAACTCCTGTCCGAGCAGTATCCCTCTGTATTGCATGGGCTTTTATTATCAGCAAGATGGGATTCATAAGAAAATGGACAGTATTAAAGCAAAATTTCTTTGGCAAGGGGCTAAAGACAAGTTTAGATATCATATGGCCAAGCTGGAAATGGTTAGTAGGCCTAAAGCACTACTGGAAACATGGCCTTTGCCGAGTACAAACTGCTTTACCGAGTGTCAAAAATCGAGCACTCGGCAAAGAATTGCACTCGGCAAAGGACTTCTTTGCCAAGTGCCAGGCTCTCGGCAAAAGCGCGACACTCGGCATAGGCTGCCCCGCGTAACGGTGTTCGGTCACGTCCTTCTTTACCGAGTGCTTGTTGTTACGCACTCGGCAAAGATTTTTTTTTTGGAAAATACTTTGCCGAGTGCCCCTGACACGGCGCTCGGCAAAGATTCAATATTTTTTTTGAAAATGTCTTTGCCGAGTGCCTAACAGCTTCGGCACTCGGCAAAGGGAGGAATTAAAAAAATTATATTTTTTTTGAAATACGTTTGCCGAGTGTCCCTGTGAAGGCACTCGCTCAAAGAGGAAATTTCTAAAAAAAATTCAAAAATCCTCTTTGTCGAACGCCTTATTCTTGGCACTCGGCAAAGACCCGAGTGCCATGCCCCGGCGCTCGGCAAAGTTTTTTTTTTTGGCCTCCAAATTTTTTGTGCAACCCTTTTAAAGTACCAGGAATTCCTCGTTAGAATTTAGGATTTTTGTGGCTTTTTGTTATATTTAGTTACTTTATTTCGTTTACTTGAATTTTTTCGAAAAATACATATTTGAACTGCACGTGGTACGAATAATGAAATTTAATGATTCAAAAAATGATAGTCATGTTACTGAGTGTAGTGTGAGGCCGTATCCAGGAACGGACCCGAAATTTCGGACATCTTGTTCACGAAACATGACCGCGAACTTGCGTGCGAAGTGTTTTTAAATTCTATAAAAAGCAAACGAAGTCCGAAAATCATGAAACTTATTGAGATGTCGTGATATCGTATGTGGAGGCTATGATAAAAATTTTAGAAGATTTTGTGCACATTGTCATGTACGATGCTTACAAACCAGGATATCTCTACATGTGTCACCTCTAGAGATGTCCTGGTTTATAATCATCGTACGTGACAACGTCGGCCCGCCAACGCCGGCGGGTGGAGGGGAGGAGGAGGAGGAGGGGGAGGAGGCGAGGAGGAGGAGGAGGAGTAGGAGCCGGCCCTGCCCCCGACCGCGCCCCGTGGACCGCCCGCCCCGACGCCGCCCGTGCCTGACCCCGTTCCCGACTCCGGCGACCCCGACCCCGACCCCGAGCCACCCGCCCCTACCCCCGGCGCCCGTCAGGTATGCCCTCTCTCTTGTTGTCGTGGTAGTGATAGTTGTAGTAGTATTAGTTGTAGTAGTAGTGCTAGTGGTAGTAGTAATAGTAGAACTAGTGGTAGTAGTAGTAGTAGAAGTAGTGGTAGTAGTAGTAGTAGAACTAGTGGTAGTAGTAGTGGCAATAGTGGAAGTAGTAGTAGAAGTAGTGGTACTACTTGGATATATTCTTCTGCATGGATTGATATCCAAACTACATGGCTTCTCTTGAGACATATGTGCTTATCGGTCATCGTGCCTGATGTAGACTAGGCCTGATCTTTTAAAATGTATGATAGCGTCGATTGGTGGAGACTCAACGTTCACGATCTAGGCTTCGAACCAAGACTGATTCGGACCCCCGCAATCGTAACACCACTGCTCCGCTGGTTATCAACCACGCGAACGCGATTGACCTCGCCGAGAAGGCTTTCCTGCAAGCGAATCGAGAACACAAGCAAGAACGGGATGAACGCAATCTGAAATTGCAAATAAATATGAGGCTTATGATAACGAGAAGGAGTTCAAGTCTTTAGTCGAAAGGACTAATCGCCACAGGCGAACAAGATCAAGAACTGGGACCCTAGTTCACAGCAAGCGACCTTGGCGGCGACCGTTGCAGCAAAATGATGTCTGTTTCACGAGGAAAACAAGAACTAAACAAAACCTAAACCATAAGGAGAGCGATGGCTGCTAAATATAGAGTCTTGGGCATCACCCCCCTGGACGCGCCCCCTAATGCGCCCAAACACGATACACGGTCCAACGGACCAAATTACGGTGTCGCAGCACCCTGGCAGATTCTGGGCGCTGAGTTGTGACCACGATTCCCGTTGATTACGAAAAGCTTTTGATGTGAGACCACTTGTATTGGTTTCCTTATCAAATTATCTTTCCATCCATATGTGGATCGTCGAAAACGGAGTCCGTATGCATCCTGGGTGACCAGTTTAAGGCAAACTGGTCCTGGAACCCGAGATGGGCTCCAGCTTCAGTTGGACTGGGCCTCCACCATGGAAAAGATGAATTGGACGCCCATGCTGGACCTCCTCCTCTCCTTGACTTGTATGCGACGGACTTGTATGCGATGAAGTAGTGATGTCCTCGTCATCCTCCCTTTCTTGAATTGAAGTCGTCCTCGACTGAAGTAGATCGTCTCCTCCATTGGATGACAACAACGATGGCTCCGGAAGAAAAACGTTCATCTTGGTGCCCCATCCTTCATAAAGGCAGCTGCCTTGGTGGTTTCCCTACTAGAAATTCATCCTCCTTCTCCTGCAAAAGGTTAGTACCAACAAGAGGCATAGCACTAGGAGTAGAACCAAGTGGACATATAAGCGATGTACAAGTTAAAGCATAACATGGTTCATCATGAACATCAAGAACAGATTTAAGAGCAAATAAAACTTCTTTCATGTTACTTGAAGGTTCATTTAATGGTTTGCTAGAGTCTTTATCAAGGCCTTTCTTTTTCTTTTCAGCAAGTTCCTTTTCATTTTGCATAATTTCAGCAGGTGTTAAAGGAAGTAAAGCAATGGTCTTTCCTTTAAACATAAAAGTATATCTATTTTACCTACCATGATGTATAACATTATTATCATATTGCCAAGGACGGCCTAACAAAAGTGAACAAGCTTGCATTGGCACGACATCAAAATCAACATAATCATGGTATGATCCAATAGAAAAATGCATACGAGCAGATTGTGTTACCTTTGCCTTACCACTATTATTGAACCACTGAACATGGAATGAATGTGCAAGAGCATATGTAGATAAACCAAGAGTCTTGACAAGCTCAGAACTTACCAAGTTATTGCTTCTTCCTCCATCAATTGTAGCACGAACACAGAAATTATTGACAATGAGGAACATTTGAAATAAATTATGGCGTTGTAGCTTGTCTACTAGCTCAACTTGTGTACTCAAAACACGCTGAACAAGGATTGATTTGTAGTCTGCAGTGCATGCTACACTATCAATTACCTCATCAGGATCTTCAACACTATCCGCAAATTTATCTGCATAAAGATCAGTTGCAAGTGCAAATTCATTCTCTTCATCACTAGCACTAGCATACCCACCATCATCAGTAGCAATATATGCGCGTTTGTTGGGGCATTCTTTAGCAATATGTCACATGCCCTTGCAGCGGTGGCACACAACTTTAGAAGAGCCGCTAGAGGAAGGTGTAGCAGATCCACTGGAAGAAGGTGTGATAGGAGAACTCTTCTTTACAGGCGCTGGTGGTGTCTGCACATTAGAAAATTTACTCACCTTGGTTGGACGTGAAGGAATGGATGGAGTCGCGGACGGAGTCGTGGAACGCCTAGGTTGTCGTCCGTGTACTTTCCTTTTAGCTTTAATAGCATAATGATATAATTGGGAAAATCTAGTCCATTCTTTATAGTCAAGAACATCATGTATTTCACGACGCAAACCTCCAAAAAATCTAGAACACTTATCCATTTCATCATCTCATATGTTACTACGTGCTAGACCAATTAAAAGCTCCT